GATATATGATTTGCAAATGTTTTCTTCCATTTCATAGGTTGCCTTTTTATTTTGTTGATTTCCTTTGCTATGCAGTGATGAGAGAGAATCATTGATTGGCTGTTTTTGACACCGATCAAGCCTGCAACCTGGGCATGTGCACCGACAGGGAATTGGACCGTGACCTGGTTCATAGATCGACGCTCAACCACTGATCCACATGGGCTGGGCTAGGCTAGTATACCTTCAACGAAGTTGGAGATCTAGGTAATGATCTGCTAACATCATAATAAAGCCAACCAGAATTACATACCTGCTGATACAGGCCACCTGCTCTTGTAAAACAGAACTTGAGCCCTGTCTGGTGTGTCTATAAAAAAGCCTTCCCCATATGAACTGTACCTTAGGATAACTATATACTTATGAGGGGACGTTTTTCACTATAAATTTCAACTAAAAAATGAAGAAATGATAGTAGACTACTGTACCTTTAAAAAAAGCAATTTTTATTGATTTTAGCAAGGGAGAGGAAGATATAGAAACATCGATGAGAGAGAAACATCCATAGGCTCCCTCCTGCATGCCCCTACTGGGCACTGAGCCGGCAACCCGGGCATGTGCCCTGACTGGTAATCGAACCAGTGACCTCTTGGTGCATGGTTTGACATTCAACCACAGCTACACCAGCGCCTGGGTTGGGGTTGCAGGTTCAGTCTCTAGCCCTGGTTGGGATGTGTGCAGAGACAACTAATCAGTGTGTCTCACATTGATGTTTTTCTTTCTCGCTCCTTACCCACCCCTTTCTCTCTCTCAAATAATCAATGGGAAAAATATCCTCAGGTGAGGATTAACAACAAAAAGAACAAAATATCTGAACTTGAATCAGATCAAACAGGGATGGAAGAACATGTTAAATGACATTTAGAATGTAGTCTGTACAATATAGAATGTAGGAACTTATGGACCCAGTGGCCCATTTTCTTCAACAAATAAATTGCAAAGCTGGGGAAAAGAGGCGAGGAAACCTATACTTTGAGAGACTTAGGGGACATATCAACCAGTACCACCCCCCACTGGGGATGTGCCCGCAACCCAGGCACATGCCCCCGACCGGAATCGAACCCGGGACCCTTCAGTCCACAGGCCGATGCTCTATCCACTGAGCCAAACCAGTTTCGGCTGGTTCCTGAGTCTTTAACAGTTGAAAAAGTTATGAAACAATTTGTAAAATTTGAACATTCAAGTGTTTGCTATTAAGGAGTTATTACATTTTTTTAGATGTGATCAAACTATATTTTATAGAAAAATCCTTTTAGAAGTACCTAATGAAATGTTACAGTAAAATTATGATTTCTGTAATTTGCTTCAAAATAATCCAAGGGAAGGCGGGGAAAATAAGACCTACAAGAAGTTGCTGAATTGAACATTAAAAATTTGAAAAATACAAGTGTAACAATTTGAGTGAAACAGCCAGTGTGGACTGAGGGAGGAAGGCTTCATGGAAAAGGGTAGACCAACAATTCTTAAGAAATGCAGAAGCAAGATTGAGGAGATGGCAAGGGGATGGAGACCAGGAGGGTATGACTTGAATTTAAGTCAGACCAGTAAGGTAGATAGATTTCCCTTTTAGGCAATCTATGGTTTTTAACCTGTTTTTTGTTTTGTTTGTTTGTTTGTCATAGATTCCTTCAAGAAATTAGTGGCCCATTTTCCCAGAAAAAATAATATTGACCATTTTACATTTTATAGTTAGTGATTTATGGGCTTCCTGAAGTCACTCATGTAGACTGCCCATCCCTCATCCCCATTGCCTTAAATCTCCACATTCTGGGTTAAGTGCTACAAAAACCTGTGATTTAGGTGGAACATTTTATTTCCTTGTTTCCTGATTCCACTCAGACCAAAGTTGAAGCTTGTAATTATTAAAGGCTGGTTTGGCAGCAGCATTCTTTTTAGTGTAGATACCTTTGCTTCCTGACTTGCTCCTGCAAGTGGATTTGATGATGCACTGTATATGGCTTAACCATGTGGAATTGCTGATATTTAGTTGTTTTTGACTTATTGAAATGGCTGTTTCAGTGGTTTTCTGTATAATTTCTAAATTATCTCTTTCATGCTGTTCACAGGTTGAGTAATGTAGGTCACCCTGTAACACCTCTCTCTAGGGCTTTCACTTATTTTTTTTTAATATAAATTGATTTCAGAGAGGAAGAGAGAGGGAAAGATAGAAACATCAATGAGGAGAATCATTGATTAGCTGCCTCCTGCATGCCCCCTATTGGGGATTGAGCCCACAACTTGGGCATGTGCCCTTGACCAGGAATCGAACTCAGGACCCTTCAGTCCACAGGCCAACGCTCTATCCACGGAGCCAAACCAGCTAGGGCAACTTTCACTTATTTCATTGTTCTGGTATTAGAGGGCAAGAAAGGAAGGTACATTGCCCTTACAAAGCAGCCTTAGGACTGGAGAATGCAGTTGCAGTGGTATCTGAAATACTGAAGGGTCTTTACTTGCAGCAGTTTATTTCCAAAATTTGAGTTGTCTCTTAATTCCCAATCTTGTCATGTGCCATCTGTAAGAACTTGCTTTTATCTTTATTGCTCCTTGTTGCTATAGATAGAATCTCTAGTATAAGTGTTAAAATTAAGCCACTCTCACATATTACTTATTAAAGGATTCTTTGTAATGAAGAAGTGTGGAGCAAAGCATTGAACTGACATCTTATTTTCCCTGGTAACTCATGCATTGATAAAGACACATGCCTAGCCTTGGCTGGGTGGCTCAGTTCATCATCCCTTGCACCAAAAGGTTGCAGGTTTGATTTCCAATCAGGGCACATACCTAGATTGCGGGTTCAGTCCCGTCAGGGCAAGTATGGAGGCAACCAATTGATGTTTCTTCTTTCATATTAATATTTCCCTGTCCCTCTCTCTCTTAATAAAAAAAGGCACAACACCTATGTGGTACTCCTACTAATGTATACCTGACTCTGAATGCAAGGCAATTATCATGTGAATCCAAACAAAGGGCCATCTGCAAAACAAATGGCCTGTAACCTTCAAAAATGTCAATGTAAAATAAAAAGGCAAAGGAGCTATTCTTAGATAAAAGAAAACATAACTAAATCCCATGTGTGCTCTTTGATTTAACCTTATATGAAAAATGTTAGAGGATAGTATTGAGACAATTAGGGAAATAAAAATATGGGTTACATATTAGGTAATAGTATTATATCAGTGTCAAGTTTCCTGATGTTAATAGGTGTGGGGAGAAGCTTCTGTTTTTATGTGTGCTGAAATATTTTGGTTGAAGTGTCAGAAAACAAGCAGAAAAAGCACACACAAGATCATGTGAGCCTTGGCCAGATAGTTCAGTTGATTAGAGCATTGTCTTGATACTCCAAGATGTGGGTTCGGTCCCTGGTCAGGGCACATACAAGAATCAAGGAATGCATAAATAAGTGAAATAAATTAGTTTCTCTAATTTATTAGAGAAATTCAATAAATAAAACTCAATAAATAAAAAAAATTTAAGTTAAAAAAAAGTTGAGGAAAAAGTTCATTTTACCTGGGCAAATCTATAATAATAAAAGCATAATATGCTAATTAGATGGGATGTCCTTCAGATGAAGCCGGGGCTTCGAGGGAAGCCCAGGTCCTGGGTGCCAGAGGGAAGCTGGTTCTGGCAGCCAGGGGAAGGAAGGCCTACTCTTGCATGAACTTCGTGCATTGGGCCTCTAGTAGTAACGTAAGTTCCTTCAAGATCACATAGAAAAAGTCTGCAACAAAACTGGACTCTTCATCTAGGAAGTATGAAAGGTTGCAAATTTATTCTGCTCACTCCTTTTACCTTACCCCCCACTCCCTTGCTGGCCCAGGAAAACTTCAGGCCTATCAACTTCTCTACCAATTGATGTTTCTTCTTTCATATTAATATTCATATTAATAACCTATCAACTTCTTCTTGGCTTTTTCTGATTAAAATTTTTTATCTTTTGCCAATTAAGTCTTAGATTCTGGATTTGGTATAAGTTGCCTCTAGTATTCTTGACAGATGATTAAGACATAAACTTAAAAAACAAAGGGACCTTAATCCACCCCGTTTTGGACAATGGGAGAGATCCACTAATTTGACAAAAGATTTGACTGCTTTTGTGTCAGCATTGTTCTAGGTGTTGGGAAATAGCAGTGAGCAAAAGTTTCTGACCTGTGGAGCTTGTGTGGTAACTGTCAGTCCTGGGATTTAACAAAATAGACTGGGTAGCTTGTAAAGCAAAAATGTTTCTGGCAGTTTTGGAGGCTGGGAGTCTGACAGCAGGGTACCAGCATGGTCAGGTAAGGATCCTCTTCTAGGTCACATTCTGATTGTATCCTCACAAGTGGAAGGGGACAAGGGATCTCTGGAGCCCTTTTTATATAAAGGCATTACTCCCATTCCACCCTCAAGGCCTATCACTCCCCAAAGGCTCCACCTCCGAACACCATTGCCTTGAGGTTAAGATTTCAACACATGGATATGGGGGGTTGGAGGAATAACACAGATACTCAGATATCATAGTGGGGTGGGGGGGAGGAAACATTGGGTGGTAATAACTGCTAAGGAGAATAGGATAGAGCCGTGGTTGGCAAACTGGCTCGCGAGCCACATGCGGCTTTGGCCCCTTGAATGTGGCTCTTCCTAAGTTTTAGGAGTACCCTAATTAATAATGTACCTACGTATATAGTTTAAGTTTAAAAAATTTGTCTCTCAATCATTGTACTGTTGATATTTGGCTCTCTTGATTAATGAGTTTGCTGACCACTGGGATAGAAGATGGGAAATAAGGACTTGAGAGGGAACTATTTTTTAAAAAAAAATATTTTTATTGATTTCAGAGTAAGGGAGAGACAGAGACAGAAATATTGACGGGAATCATTGATTAGCTGCCTCCTGCATGCCCTATGGTCAAGCCCACAACCTGGCTGGGTATGTGTCCCGACTGGGAATTGAACTGTCACCTCCTAGTTAATAAGTCGACGCTCAACCACTGTGCCAAGCCAGCTGGGAGCTGCTATTTTATGAAGTTTCAAAACTTTAGGAATAAAGTGAGTCAAGTGGAAAGCTAGGAGAATTCCTGCAAGGGATGACAAAAACCACAAAGTAAAATAGGAAGTTAGGGAGAAAGTAATGAAGGGCCTCATCACTGCTGTGGGTAAATAGTAGCAATGTGTGTAATTTTTTTAAATAGATATTTGGATTGTTTCCCAAATATCCAACTTTTTTTAAATTTTAGATTATTTTATTTTTATATATCTTATTGATTTTTTTACAGAGAGGAAGGGAGAGGGGATAGAGTTAGGAACATCGATGAGAGAGAAACATTGATCAGCTGCCTCTTGCACACCTCCTACTGGGGATGTGCCTGCAACCAAGGTACATGCCCTTAGCCGGAATCGAACCTGGGACCCTCCAGTCCGCAGGCCGAGGCTCTATCCACTGAGCCAAACCGGTTAGGGCAAGGTGTGTAATTTTAAGGGGGGAAGACTACTTTTAATAATCCAAGTAGTAACTAATACTAAGTGGTAGAGTGGAGATGGTGATTCTGGATGTGCTTTGAAGTTTAAAGATTTGTTCATTCCAGGTTTGGGCAACCATAAAGCAGCACATTTACTGGAAAGACCACTTAGGAAAATCATAAGTTCCTTTTGGGACCTATCAAGCACTTGTCACAAAAGGGAGACTATTTGAAGAATAAAAATCTTTTGGCCTTTTAAGACTGTTTGCTCTAGTATCAGTTTTATTGGTCTGTATCGGGAATACTGCTGTATGTTCACTACACATGGGGAAGCTTGAGACAGTTGTGGGTATCTATCCAGGCAGCTCTTCTCCTAATATAAGCCATATTGTTTCAGGGGATGTTTGGCTGCTCTCCGATACCAAGGATGGATCTTGAATCATATAAGACAGTTCTCAATTGGGGTGCTTTTGAAATCCTTGAAAGGCTTAGGTTCTAGAGGTGTTTAGTGGCCAAGGGCCAACCACAGGTGCTAAACATCTATCTATATACATAAAACCCTAATATGCAAATAGACCGAACTGCTAAACAACTGGTCACTATGATGTGCACTGACCACCGGGGGCACATGCAGAACATGGTGGGAGCCACAGTGGGATGGGCTGGGTGGGGGTATGGAGGATGGGCAGAGACCTACCCCTGTGCCCACTGCAGCTTTGTGGCCCAAAGTTCCTTTTAAGGTGCACAGATTCGTGCACTGGGCCCCTAGTCCAGTGATGGCGAACCTTTTGAGCTTGGCGTGTCAGCATTTTGAAAAACCCTAACTTAACTCTGGTGTCGTGTCACATATAGAAATTTTTTCGATATTTGCAACCATAGTAAAACAAAGACTTATATTTTTGATGTTTATTTTATATATTTAAATGCCATTTAACAAAGAAAAATCAACCAAAAAACGAGTTTGTGTGTCACCTCTGACATGCGTGTCATAGGTTTGCCATCACTGCCCTAGTCTAACAATAACATGCCACAAAACAGTCCTTCATAAATTATTGCACAGGGCCACTAGTTTCCCACCAAGTGTCCATCTGGCTGAGAACTTGAACTAGAATTTATTTTTTACGAGAATCTCAAGAAAGTATTTACATGGCTATCAATGACCAATTTCCCAGGAATGTAATTATCATGTAAACAATGTCCTTCACGTTACAGTACTGTATTAATTTTTAAAAAATGATTTGAGAGAGGAAGAGAGAAACATCATTTTGTTGTTCCACTTATTCATATATTCATTGGATACTTCTTATATAGACCCCAACTGTAATTTGAACCCACAACCTTGGCCTATTGGAAAGACACTTTAACCAACTGAGCCTACCCAGCAAGAGTCTCATTGTATTGAGTTTTAAATATTTATGAGTTATGTTTCTAAACATCACCACAAAATAAAAGCCATGACCTCTGATGGGATCTAAGTCCTATGTTCTTAAGAATCCTGCAGGCATGACATACGATAAATCTTCTCTTGGGAGACTTTTGGGGAAAAATTCTTAACACTTAGATGTAAGAAAGATGCAGTCACCTTTCTGCTTCTGAAGTTGTCAGCACGTGGTAATTAGAACTACATCATAATTTAAGATAAGACTAGCCATGTGCTGAGGGTGAAAGCAAATATGGTAATTACCAGTACCTAACATTATTGAGCCATTAAACTTGTAACTTAGGGTTTACTACTAGATTTATATACAGCTACTTAGAACTGAAAGCAACCTGAAAATAGTAGCCTGTTTTCATGCTAGATAGAGATCTAGACTTTTAACATTCCAAATGAAAGATGGAGCTAAAAGAAATCAACAAAAAACCCTCAAACCCAGAGTTGTACTTAGCCTCACCCCTCACAAACAAGAGATCAAGATGCTTTTCATATTTATTTTTTAAAAAAATCCAGAATGGATCAAAAAGAATAATCCAGGGTACAGGTGCCAAAGGCCAGAAGGTAGCTATAAAAGTGTGCCATAGGAAAATTAGGGAGCCTTATTACCTTGTTTAAAAGCTGTACCTAACATAAATAGCTTAGCTTCCCCTGCTCTACCTCTGAATGTGGCACAACAGGCTTGTCTTGCAAGGCCTCAGTTGAAGGATCCCATGTATACACACAGGCTGGTATGGCAGTACTTGTCTTATATCCCCAGTTGGTTTTATTCCAGGTCTGACTACCTTCGTTGTTGTGTGTGGGATGGTTTCACCCCTTGGAAATACAGGTATTTCAGCACAAAACAATGTTAAGTCTTCACAATCAATAAGTCATCACCTTCCCTTTTCGTGCAGCTAAAAAATGATAGGCTAGGGACAGACAGAACATTGTGAGCTTTGTTACTGTTGGAATTACCACTCATTAAATGATCATTAGCTAAGTCACTAAATTTACATATTAAGGGAATTATATATAGAATACTGCAAAAACACAGTAAAAGACTGAAGTCTGCCCATTTCTGCTCAGGAAGTCCCTTCACTCCCAAGCGTCATGTTGTCCTTTTGGCTCCAAAGTTTACTGTTATTACTGTTTCTCTTCTTTTTGATCTTCCTTTTGTTCCCCAGCACTAGAACTTCCAGAGCCTTCTCGCTCAGAGGCCATCTGTTAAGAAAACATTTGACAGTCACTCATTTAATGTTAAGGCTGACAGCTTGCTCTCTGGAGCCATATCCCACCTATTTCACCCTCACCCTCCCAGTACACTATTGGTGGTTTCTGTGACTCCTTTCCTTTGACCTCCCTCACAAAGTAGAGTCAAGAAGGAAGGATATTTTCAACATGCCCAGTTCTATAAAATGGCGATGTAGGGAGCCATCAGTGAGTCATCAAGAGCAGTTACATCAAGATCAGATGAGAAGGCAAATAAGTCATTGAGCAAAACACCCTTCAGTCCTTGTACCTTTTTGTATGCCATTTCGAAGAGCTTCAGTGATGCTTGCTGAAGGGAAGATGCTGCCTGCCTTATGTTTTCTCCAGTTTCACTATCTTTTCGAGCCAGGAGCTCTCTCATTTTGGAAATCTCCTCTTTTAGTTTGTTGCACTAAAAAACAAAATAAAACAAAGCCCTCACTTTTTTTGGGTTTTCTTATCCTATTACATGAAACAGTAATATTCAGAAACATTTTTTAAAAACTAAATTCCAATCAAGACCCACACAAACTTCATTGACATTGGTGACAATGCCTCCCAACTTCTTGAACTGTTGTATTATAAAAGAGGGCTCACCTCATCAGCAGGCAATTGGTCCTTGTATTCCTCCATCTTGCTTTCTGTATCATGGATGATTCCTTCAGCCATATTAACTGCTTCAACTCGTTCCTACGAGACATTAGAAATTGAAGACCTCCCAATTGGTTGGCTGAAAGTCCTCACTGAGAAAGACAACATGCTGACTGCTACATATAGTTAGAGTAAAAACAGTAAGAGGGAGAAATCATTGTAGTTGGTGTGAGCTAGTCTGATGTCTGTGAAAGATTTTAGCTGAATTCTTATAACAAAAATCAATATAGGAAGACTTGGAATAAATAAAGGCATTCCACATAAGTTACAACAAAGGGAGAAAGGGGATAGATTGAGAGTAACAGAAGATAGAAGATCAAAGATAAATGTCTAAACTCCTTTCATCTCCCAGCTGAAAAGACAGAAAGTACCAATCACCTTCTTTCGCCTGTCTTCCTCAGCATACTTCTCTGCGTTCTTAACCATATTTTCAATATCATCTTTGCTTAACCCACCAGAAGACTGGATCACAACTACAGTGAAAAGAAAGCATTTTGTTACTTCCCTGGTAAAATTATCTCACCCTCTATTTGTATTGAAAAGAACAATATGCCTGCTCAGAATAGCCAATCTTGATGTAAATTACGAAGAGGAATACCCTACTGTCCTATAATAGACAGAAGGAAACAAAGGTCTGATATACACAAAGACCAACTATCCTGCCAAACCCCCAAGACTTTAATAAGCTCAGCAATGCAGAGGCTCAGTGCTTGCCTATTTGGGGGAATAAACAAATCTGTTAATGTGAATCTGATAATTGAGAAAAGGGGCAAGAGGACTCATTCTCCCGAGGCTAGAAAAAGATATGCACAACCTAGAGCAGTGATGGCGAACCTTTTGAGCTCGGCGTGTCAGCATTTGAAAAACCCTAACTTAACTCTGGTGCCGTGTAACATACAGAAATTTTTTGATATTTGCAACCATAGTAAAACAAAGACTTATATTTTTGATATTTATTTTATATATTTAAATGCCATTTAACAGAAAAAACCAAAAAAATGAGTTCGTTCGTGTGTCACCTCTGACAGGCGTGTCATAGGTTCACAATCACTGGTGTAGATGCTCTCTTATAAATTTGGGTC